AAAAAAAAAAACAGTGAATTTCTCCAACAAAAACTGAGGGAATTTACCATAGACCTCATTCGAAGAAATGTTAAAAGAAGTTCTTTAGAGGGAAGGGAAAGGTAGGAAGGCAGTATAAAGGGATTGAAAATGATCGAGAAATTATATAACATATATGATGGATTATATATAAAATATATATTTTATATAATATCCCCAAACATATGCAATTATTATGTATCACAAGCATACACTGATTTTAAAAAAGAAAAGTAAAAATGAATCATTAAGAAAAGTTCTTTAGAGAGAAGGAGAATAATATCAATCAGAAACTCGATCTAGCCTCATGCGGTAGTGCACAGCTACAATTCTGGTTATTCAGTAGGCTGAGGCAAGAAGATCACAAGTTTGAGGCCAGCACGACTTAGCAAGTCCCTGTCTCAAAATAAAATAAAGGAGTTAGGAGTATAACTCAGTGGTAGAGTGCTAACCTAGCATGAGTCAGACCCTGGGTTTAATCCCCAATATAGAAAGAAAGACAGGAGAGAGGAATTAAAATTGTTTTGTTGCAATAAAGTACCTGTGAAGTGGTACAGTGTTATCCATGTGTTATGTACATGTAACAGCTCTACACAAAGAATGTAAACACTATGTACTGCAAACATGTAGTAATAAAAAGTAAAATTTAAAAAGTAAAGTAAGCTTGGATTAGTTATAAATGTATATTGCAAACTCTGGGACAGTGGTGGTGAACATATGGCACATGTGTTGTTTTTCTTTTAATACAAAAGGTGTTAATGTATGAGTTGTTTTTCCTAAACTAAAACATCAGTGTCCAGGTTTATTGCAGTGTTGGCACTTTATGATAAATAAGTGGGTTTGGAGTTGCAGTTTGAGCACTTGGTCTCTAAAAGTTTTGCCATCACTACTCTAGGACTTTAAAACATAAAGAAAAGATCTCTAATTGATATGTTAAGAAGAAAGGAAAGAAAATAGAATCATATAAGGTGCTTGGTTAAAAATACATGAAGCATAAAAAGAGTGAAAGTGCACCACAAAAAATTTAAAATAAAATTTAAAAAGATTATCAGAGTGTATTAAAAAGGAAGACCCATCAGATGTTGTGTATATGTTTTAAATATAAAGATGCAGGGGGAGGAAGGAGAGGAAAAGGAGACAGAAAAAGGGGGTAAATAAAGAATTAAAGAAGGAAACAGAGACTTTGCAAATGAGAAAGGGACCAAGAGTTGGAAGGAGCAGGCAGGAATGGGACGGGTAGGGGACAAAAAAAAATTTAAGATATGTTATACACATGTACCAGCACCCCACAATAAATGTAATGATTATGTACTACAAATATGTATTAATAAAAATTTTAAACATAAAGATGCATATAGTTTAAAAATAAATAGATGGAGAAAAATATACCATGCAAACACTAGTCAAAAGAAAGCAGGAGTCACTATATTAATTTCAAACAAAGCAGACTTCAAGGCAAAGAAAGTTATCAGGGATAAAGAAAGGCATTACATAATGGTAAAGAAGTCAGTCTTCAAGATGATAAAACAGTCCTTAACATATATGCTCCTAACAACAGTGTCATGTTAATGAGTGTCTTAAAGTAGTCATATTTCTATCACAGTGACAAAATGACTGAGAATAACAACTTAAGAAGGAAGAGATTTATTTTAGCTCACAGTTTCATAGATTTCAATCCATGGTCATTCAACTTTGTTGTTTTTGGACCTGTGGTGAGGCAGTACATTATGATGGAAGGACATTGCAGGACAAAGCTACTCACTTCATGATGGCCAGGAAGCAAGGACAGAAAGAAACAGGACAACATACCGTGCAAGAGTGTACCCCCAGTGACCTACTTCCTCCAGCTAGGCTCAACCTCCTTAAGTTTCTACAGCCTTCTAATAGCATCACAGGCTAAAACCAGGCCTTCCATGCATGGCTTTTGGGGGACATTTCAGATCCAAGCCATAAAAACGAGGTAAAAGCATATTGTTACAGAAGGAATTGGTAAATGACATGCAGAGATGCAAGAAGTGGGTTAAAAATTTTTTTTAATGTTTGCTTTGCTAGCAAGGGATCAGTCTGCAGCAAGAGCTATGCCAAATGACCGACACTGGACTGGGTGACAATCTGCCTTTTATAAGAGTTCTACAATCATGACTTCATTTTAGTTCCCACCGTTCCCATCACAAATCATGGTCACAAGACAGTACAATGTTAACCCAAATGTAGCAGTTTCTTTCAGGATGTTTATCTTTAGCTTTTTAACCCGCAAGAGTGGGGGGTCAGAGTTAGGAAAGCAGGATTGGTGACGTTCCTTTCATCTTATTACCTTTATAACCATATAGTTTACAGAAAGTTTTATAGCTCAGGGACTGTTATTTTAGCTTGAACATTTGGTCTCATCCTGGGATACAGTTTAGCACCTCCTGCATCTGTTAATTTTAAACTGGGGCTAGGCACCTTTAAGCTTCAGTGGTGAAACCTCAGGTGTTTTTGTTAAACAAGCAAAGCAAAGCAGATTACAGAAGCAAAAGGCAGCAGCTATTCTATATTTTTAAAATTTTGTAGGTTTCAGACTATTTATAGAAGTTCTGTCTATCAGTACAGAATTGCAAATTAATAAATGGGTTCACTATATTTCTGGGAAACTTCAACTTCTCCCTATAAAAAATGGACAGATCCAGCAGGATCAGTAAGGACATAGTTGGACTCAATAAATAACATCAATAATGAACTAGATATAATCATCATCTATAGAATATACCATCCAACAATAGAAGAGTACACATTCTTTTAAAGCTTACATGGAGCATTCATGAAGGAAGACCACATTCTGGACCATAAAGTTCTTCTTAGAATAGGAGTCATACAGTGTTTGCTATCAGACCACAACTGAATTAAAGTAGAAATTAGTTAACTAGAGATAACTAGAAAAGTATCAAAAAATACATGGAGATTAAATAACATACTTCCAAGGCACACATGGGTCAAAGAAGAAATCTCAAGAGAAATTTTAAATATTATTTTTAATTTAAAAAATAAATTAAAGGACCAGGGATTTGACTCTATGGTTCTGCCACCTGCCTTTCAAGCGCAAAGGCCCAAGTTCAATCCCCAGTACCAGAAAAGAAAAAAAGAAATTAAAGTGAAAATATGGCTAGCAAAATATGTAGGATACAGTAAAAGCAGTGTTTTGAAGGAACATATCTCAGTGGTCCTTTTCTGGTTTTTTTGTTTGTGCTTTTGTTTTTGTACCAGGGATCAAACTCAGGACCTTGTGCATGTGAGGTAGGTGGCAGAACCACTGTGCTAAATCCCAAGCCTGTAGTAGTCCTTTTATGGAGTCAGCTCATTTGGACTTGACCAGTCTGCCAAATGAAATTTGATTTTTATAGTATTTCTTGGCATTTTGACAAAGATCAACTGAAATTTTATTTATAAGTCACAGTTAAAATCTTCTTTCCACTAAATGCAATAGCCATTATTACTGACTTCTGCTGTAATGTTCCTCATTGGACATCAGGGAGAACATTGATTCCTGTATTTATTTTCAGATTACTGTCCTGACTTCCCAGCCTGGAAAAGAAGTGGTCAAACAGCTGGAGGAAGGGTTGAAAGATAAAGACTTACTTAGAGTCAGGAGGCTTCAAGTTGTTGAAATCATAAAGGGAATCCTAGAAGTTAGGAACTCACCATCTCCTGTTGATGAGTCTGGCAATGATGGTGAGATTTTTTTTTCTTTTTTTGAGATGAGATCTTGCTATGTTGCCCAAGCTAGCTTTGAACTCGCAATCCTTCTGCCTCAAGAATTTAAGTGAAAAGAATAGTAATAATTTTATTAAGTAGTCTTTTACAAGTCAAGATGATTATTTTCCCTGTTCTTTTTGTGTTGTTATAAATTAAGCCAGCAGATATCACTGCATTTCAGACAAATGTTTTTAGGTATTAGATTGAATTATATAATAATTACTTTATTTCAGAAATGATGTATTCTAGCAGTAAACACTGAAATTTTATAGGTATTAAAAGTAAAAATTCCTTCCTCCTCCTCCTCCTCCTCTTGCTCCACCCTACCCCATGGTGAAGTAGAGTGATTGGTTACTAAGGGTGTGATTCTTGTCAAACTCTGACACACATGGATGCTTCTAGCATCTCAAAGCACTAACATTGTTCTGGCAAAAGAAGGAGGGTAACTAGCCTTGGCCGTGTGGTTTGTGTGTTCTCATCTACTACATACACTGCTTCTCTCAAGCCTGTCTCCTCATTGACTTTCCTTCTTTCAATCTCTCCACTGATCTTTTCTTCTGAACTCCCTCTCCCTTTTTTCTGAATTCTGTCACCTATCCTCTTCCAGAGGAATCCTGACTATGTCTTAAATCCTAATTCAGGTTCATGACTACTGTATTGATTTTCCTCTCCTTAGAACCGCATCTCTTGTGGTCTGTACCATACATTTCAGCACTTAATTGTGCTAGGACATTTACCATTGCTTTATTATATAATAATTTTGTCTGTTCTCCTTAATTATGAAATATTTCATATCTTCTCAGTCTACATTAAACTCTAAATACATCGGACTCAGGAACTTGTTTTAATTATTTCTGTGGTTCAGTGTAACAAATAGCCTAGATTATCAGAAAAGATTTGTTGTATGAACTGATGCCCTTCATACCTGTGGAGCCCCTTCTGGTTGGCATAGCATACTTTACATTCTACACTCTTCAGAGTAGGCCATAACCCAGCCTAAGGCAATCATAGTTCCCCACAGTACCATTGGAGTCCTCCCCATTGGTTTCTCGAACTAATCTGCTAAAGAGAAGCTCTTCTTTCTCTTAGTCAAGTTCAGATGAGACATAGATTATGTCCCTTTCTCCCTTCAGTGACTATATGTGGAAAAAACTTGTCTCTAATAGCACAGAGCCCAGAGTACTTGAAGGCTTCTTGATGCCTTCTTTTAGAATAGTCAGTGGCTTGTGCATTATAGTAGAGCTTTTAAATGTAGGAAAGCTCCTTTTACCTTATTCGTTGCCCATGATAGCTCCTTTTCTACTTTAATTATATATGCTATGATACCAGTGTTTAAAGAGACAGTTCAAAAGAAAGAAAAGCAAAATTTCACCTGCCAGAGATAAGCTCCATGAATAGTGTGGACACAATCTACTGAATTGTTCTTTCTATGCATACATATATATGGGAAGATATGTAACATTATCATTGTTTTAATATTATTTTTTAAATAGGAATATAACATATCTACTTTTGCATCTTTAACTTAGATATATATAGAGAGAGATAGATTTAGATATCTAAGTAAGATTTTTTTGTGCCGGAGATTGAACTCAGGACCTTGTACATGTGAGGCAGGCAGCGGCATCACTGAGCTAAATCCCCAGCCCCTACTTAGATATTTATTGATAATTATTATTAAATAATAATTTAATAATTTTTTCATATTGGAACATAGATTTCTTACCATTCCTTTTAATAACTAGCTGTAAGTTACTCCAGTGTATGAATTCATTACCATTTATTTAAACATCCAATTGGACTTTTATAACAATATAGAACTGTGTGTCCTTGAACAAGTTACTCTCTTTGTTCCACAATATTCTCATTTATAAAAGATGACTGATTATAGATATTTCATGGGGATTAAATATACCTTACATGTAAAGCACTTAGAACGGTACCTGGTACAGACAAATAAGTAACATTTGTTGTATTAATAGTAGTATCTTTTTTGTAATTTTTACTGAGAAATTTTAAGCTTAATAGTTTGTATTTTATCAAAAAGACTACAGAATAACTTTTAATTTAAAAATCACTCATTATCCTACTACTCCATTACACTACTTTTATTTTTCCACATTGCCTTTTCATTGACCACAATTATGTTTGTTACGTAGTTGTAATTCATGTGTATAATTTTTTATTTTTGTGTAACATAATAACTATACATTTTCCATAGTTGTTCTGGCTTTTCTTTTCTACTCTTTTTGTTTTGTTTTGTTTGAGATAGGGTTTTGCTATGTTGAATCTGGACTTGAACTCCTATGAAGCCTAGGCCTCAAATTCATGGCAGTCTTCTTGCCTCAGCCTCCCCAGTGCTTACAGGCAGTGATTAATGCCAGTGATTACAGGCATGCACCACCACATTCAACTCTTCTTTCACTCTTAAAAGAGAGCTAAGAAGTGTTGGCCCAGGAAGTAGAACTATAAAGAGGTTTACCTCTTACAAGAGAAGTGGCATTCCTTCTTTATCCTTATATGCCCTCTTTATATATAAGCCAAATTCCTAATGCTAGATCTTGATCATAATAAATTTAGGATCTAGGAGATCCTGCCAATTCTATCAGCCAAAGAACCCCATAGGAGAGCCATAAGTCATGAGAATAATGCTACTAACTTAGTTTGGGTGTGTTTGTTTTTCTTTTTTCTGAGTTGGTTTGTTTGTTTTTGGTACCAGGGATTGAATTCAGGAGCTTGCGCTTGTGAGGCAGGTGGCGGGGGAATCACTAAGCTAAATCCTCAGCCCACTTATTTTGTTTTTAAATAACTTCCAGGCCTCAAGAAAAAGATACATGAACTAAAAGCCACTCAACATATTTTAATATTTGTTTCTAGATCATAATAATAGCACCATTTCATTGGATGCTTACTTTCTAAGTTGTTTCCACATATTATCTTCCTTAATCTTTGTTTAACTAGGTGAAAAACTAAGACATAGTTTCATGTCCAAATTAACTTTCCCAAGGTTTCTCAGTTAATAGAACAAGGCTTCAAATTCAAGTAGTCTGGCTTCAAAGCTTACATGTTTAATCTTTATTATTTTCGTTGAAAAGACCAGTAGAGATTTTAAGCAATTCAAAAATTCATTCTTGGACTGGAGATTTAGCCCAGTGGTGCCACGCCACCTACCTTGCAAGCACAAGGTCTCAAGTTCAATCCCCAGTACCAAAACAAAACAAAACAAACAAACAAACAAAACAAGCAAACAAAAAAATGCCCAATAGGGCTGGGGATTTAGCTCAGTGGTTCCGCCGCTTGCCTCGCAAGCACAAGGACCCATGTTCAATCCCTGGTACCTAAAAGAAAAACAAAATAAAATAGAGAATTCTCTAGTGAAATGAATGAAAAAATTTTTAAAAAGCACAAATTATGTTAGGAATGGGAAAAGAGACCATACCTGCAGATAGAACTATGAATTCAAACAGATTAAAATGGATGCATCCTTTAAAAAATATACCTTATTAAGGAAGGGGATAAGGAGAGGTAGATAAAAGGGAGAAAATAGGGTGATTAAAATTATCAAAATATATGCATGGCTGAAAATTGTTGGAATTCATAATTCTGAAAATACTGGACATAAATGGGAATGTAACTTTATCTTTTATCAATAAATAGTCAAGATTTTAAATATATACAGCTGGGCACTGTGGTGCATGCTTGTAATCCTAGCACTCAAGAAACTAAAGCAGGGCCAGAGATGCAGCTCAGTGGTGTCATGCCTGCCTGGCAAGTGCAAGGTCTTGAGTTCAATCCATGGTACCAGGGAAAAAAAAAGGAAGAAAGAAAGGAACAAAGGAAGGAAGAAAGAGAAGGAATGGAAAGGAAAGGAAAGGAGGAAGGAAGGTAGGAAAAAGAAAGAGAGGGAGAGAGAGAGAGAGAGAAAGAGAGAGAGAGAGAGAGAAAGAGAGAGAGAGAGAGAGAGAAACTGAGGCAGGAGGAACATTGCGAGTTGAAGGCCTGCCTGGGCTATATAACGTGTTCAAGGCCATCCTGGGCTACATGACGAGTTCAAGGCCAGCCTGAATACCCCCCCGCAAAAAAGCAAACAAACAAAAAAAAAACAAGCTAGGACAATGTTAGAATACAAAATTGTAGACCAGGGCCTGGGATTTAGCTCAGTGGCACTATGCCTGCCTCAAAACCAAAAGGTCCTAAATTTGATTCCTGGTACTGCCAAAAAAAAAAAATTGCAGACCAGTCTCAGTTATGAAAATAGAACAATCTTAAATAGTCCAGTCATACGTGTAACATATGGTACTGACAAAGGTGAGTTAGCTGAAGAATATAGTGAATTTTAATTAGTAAATATATAATTTACCACATCAACAGATCAAAGTAAAAGCCAGGTAGCATTAATATACAAAAATACATACAATAAAATCAACATCTATTCATTATTTAAGAGAAAAATCTTAGCAAACCAGGAATAGAAAATAACTTCCTTAAATTATCAAAATGTATCTATCAAAACCCTACAATAAGTATAATTTTTATTGGTGAAATATTAGAAAGATTAAAAATCAAGAATAAGACATGGACACTCCATCACAATTCAACTTAATGTGGTTGTTCTAGTCTCATAAGACAAAAAAAAGGAGTAAAAGATGTGATGATTGGAAAGAAGGAAACAAAACAGTCATTATTTATAAATTATTTGGTTGGTTACTTAGAAACCAAGAGATTCTATTGCTTCTCAGCCTTTTGGCTAAGATCAAGTGTAAAAGATTCTATGGACAATTATAATAATTAGGGTTTAGCAAGGTAGCTGGATATAAGATCAATAGCACTTCTATAATTGGAAATAAATTGTTATAAAGTTAAATGTTAATAAATACCTTCAATAATAATAAAAATGTAAGGCATTTATAAGTAAATCATTTTCATAGTTGTTTTGCTTTGTTTGTTTTTTGTTTTTTTGTTGGTGGTGGTAGTTC